GTAATTTGCTTGAAGCACTATGCAAAGCACTATGAAGCGATATATAAGGCTAAATGCTACTGCTAATACACTTGCCTTTCCTATTTGACATCCACATGAGGCTGCTTGGTCTGGTCATCTATTAGTTTGGGGTCAGGTATCATCAATCTCAAGTTATGTATCTCAACTCCAAACTAACCAAATAATGATGTCCAAGTCTTGACTCAGTGTCTGAGGATGTGAGTATCTAGATGGGAAGGAGCAGACTCAGGCTTAATCTGAAGCATATTTAGGCTACTCAGTCCAAGTCCCAGAGATTCTTTAGTCCTGAATAGAATTTAGGTCTGTACTTTCCCTTTGAGTTTTCCTGAACTTACAGCTACTGCTCAGAGGAGAGAGAACTGTGGCCGAGAAAGTCCTTGCAATAAAGTAGACCCTTTGCTGTACCAATTGCAACTCTTCCTGGTTTTGGCGGGTCTTCAGACAGTCACTCATTCTGGTTACTTTCTGTATGAAGTACTGCAATGGGACTGCTTTGAAAACCAATCAGAAGCAACAAGTGGTCTAGAATGTAGCAGCACAAGTAATTATGAGCATGCCACAATGTGATCACATAATACCTATCTCTCTGCTTTGTAAACAGAATTGGTTACCAGTGGATTCCAGGTATAATTCAAGGTGCTGGTTATTACCAATAAAGCCTCTGATGGCCCATGGTCTGGCTATCTGCTCTTGTACTTTCTGTCCAATCTGTATGAGCAGCCTTAGCAACTTAGATCCCATTGATTAGGCAATGTCATCTGATGGAACCCAGAAAGCCTTCTCTATTCTAGAGCATTGTTGCCCTGGGCAACAATGTCCCTGCAACATATTTGACTGACCCCAAATTAATTTAAAAGAACCCTAAAACCCTGCCTTCCTCTCCAGACCTTAGATTGGGGTATCCGGCAGGCTTCATATAGGAATTGTTTGTATCAAGCAATCCTATGTTTTATTGCTCTTTCTCGATATTTGCCATTCTTTTGATGTTATATTGTTCTAAATTGGTTTTTTAAAACATTGCACAATATTCAGAGTCATTAGGGGATTAAAGGAACTTAGAAATTTGATACAAGAAATAAATAGGTTATATAGTGGTAAAACCAGAAAAGCTAGAGGGATTTTTGTAGCCAAAGTCCACAAATGAAACTCTGAAGCATGTTGTACAACCTTTCTCACTGTCTTGTTGGCTATGCTAGCTGCAATCTATTGTTTCTACACTGAATTGCCTTTGGTTACAGGTATACAGTAAGAATTCCTTTATTTAATAGAAGTTTCCAAAGCATGTGCAAAAATGACACATCTTCAGTCAAATGCAGAACTATATGCATCTAGTATTTCTTTTACTAAAGCGTTGTGTAAGCAATTTTTTCATTATTGCCTAAAGAAGGGAATGCTGAAAGGCCACTAGATTTAAGGTGTAAAATTACAGGCTCAACCCTATGGAACTGAAGACTCACAGGGCTATCTCTCTAGAAGTGATTTTTATGTCAAACACATACTGAAATCAATAAATCAATGAATACAGCAAGAAAGTACAACCATTGTCTCCTAGACAGTATGCATTGCAACTCTCATAACTCTATGCCACTATACTATTAGATTTTGATTCCCATCGATCTCAAACAACTGCAAGGCAGCATATTGCCTATCCCTCATCTACTGACACTGTATTTTTTTCAACCAGGGAATGATTTACATTGACTTATTGCTCCTGGCAAATGCAAAACTGTTTAGAGTATTCTAAAATTTCATATGCATTTTGCATGAAAGGCTCTGTTACTTCAAACACATTAAAAGAAGACCACAGGCTAAACCATCTAAGGTATAAACTATGAACTAACATCTCACCAACTTTAACTGTTAATATTTTTTTTAACAAATCAATTACGCAGTGTTTAAGTAAGGAAAAAGTCTATCTGAAATACAATGCTTAGTGTCTCCTGCCTTTACAATAAATAGATGCTGTGACTCAGGTGGCATATCTGGCTGATCTCATTTGGACTTCAAAGCTAAGTAGGCTGTATGTATTAAAGTGAGAGATCACTATGGAATACTAAGACCATAAACTGGATTAGAAAAATCAAAGAATGCCAGGAGCCAATCACTTTAATACAGATAGTCCTTGACTTACAAACATTCGTTTAGAAACTGTTTGATGTTACTCAGCAGTGAAAAAAGTGATTTACAACTGGTCTTCACATTTACAATTATTGTAGCTTCCCCATAGTCACATGATCAAAATTTGGCTGCTTGGCATCCAGCATGTATTTACAATGGCTGCAACATCCCAGGGTCCTGTGATCACCATTTCAGTATTGCTGGAAAGCTACTGATTTGAATCCATACAACAATCAGGAGTTAGGTTCACGTTAAGAACATCTTTATCTTTTTAATCTCACAAACAGTAAAAAAATGAGAAGAAGCTAATCAAAACAGTTGATGTACCACAGTATTCCAGTTTCTTCATATTAAAAAAATAGGATGATACTACAGTCGTTTATTTTCAAAGCAAAGGATTAAAACTAATTGCTACTTTGGAATATACAACAGTTGTTCCATTGTAGTTTAATTATCATAGGCGAACATCTGCGGTATAGTAAAGTTGATTCCTCACTGAATTCATGCCATACCAAGTAATTAAGTAATAGCAATGACAACACATATTGCCCGTATTCTATTTTTAAAGTGTTTATAGAAAAAAAAATTGCAAGTATTTTATTGTATGATTTAGTTTTTTTCCAAGAATGTATTTTCTTTATTTATTGAATGGATTAAATGCCGTGATGGCCTAGTGGTGAAGATGCCCGCCTCCCACTCAAAAGATTGAGAGTTCAATCATAGGTAGTGGCAGATATTTCTCTCCTAGGGTGCAAAGAAAAAATATCTGCTGCAAACTCCGCATAGGCATCTGGAAGGGCATCCAGCCAATAAATGCTTGGTTCCATCCAATCATCCTGGCTCTGCCCCAAATAGGGACTACAGGGCTGTAAAAATGGAGTTTTATTTATTCAATGGATTAATTCTTACCTAGTTCAAGCTAGGTATACAACATTTGCTAAGTATACAAGGAGGCACAGTTCCAAGCCAAGGAGGGTTTTTTCCTTGAAAAAGATGCCTGAACTGAGATAGTACATTACATTAATCTTAAACAAGTTTTTCAAGGATGAATTATACTCTGCAACTAAGATCTAAGCAAAAATAATGATATATTTTAACAATAGCAAGCAGCAAGATGATCCTTTTAAGCTGAAGATTGTGATTAGGTTTCCAGCAAATGAGCAAAAAAGGAACTAACAACTGTCACTGCAACCCTAAGTAACATATACCTGGAATTAATTAAACCTAATATGTCTTCTAAAATTTAATCCCAACTAAATATGGAAAATTATACCTTAAATTGCATTTGATATGTGTACTTATTGTTACCTCTTTGATCTGCATATCTCACACTCTTGCTTTGGACACATGATATCGACCAGTCCCTGAAACTGCAAGGTGCTTATTTTTGCCTAATATGGCTAGAATCATATTTTAAAACACGTGTTAAAGTTAGATAATGATGAAGAATGATGAAGTTAACAAAGAAATGAACCTAAACCTATTTGGAAGCAAATAACAGCATATACAAGGCACATGACTTCCGAGTAAATATGCCAGGATTCACAAGCCTGTCTGGCAACAAAACATTTTGAAAAAATGGGGGGGCAAGTGACATCTCTGTGAATTGCAGCATTTTCAAAAAAATAATTGTGCTCTAGGTTAAAGGCCAGTATTTCCAAACAATGGGTGACCCTTACAAGGAGGCAGCAAAGAGAATGTTCTCCTTCTTTAAGAACAGTTACCCTATCAAAGCCTAGAGAATGTCAACTAATATATGGTTACATGTTTTAAGAGGTCTCTGATGCTCTCTGAACTTGGTTGTTTTCTTGCAGAGATTTCATTATCCAAACTAGATAACATCATCAGTGTTAATAAGGGATGGATTAACCCTGATGGTGTTACCTACTTTGGATAATGAAACATCTGTAAGAAAACAACCCTATTCAGACAGCACCAAGAACCCCTCATTCCAACCCTGAGCTACAAATGTTCTCCTTTATCACTACAATTACCCTTGGTTTAGCAGCTTTGAGACAGATTCCCTTCCCCTCTTCCATTAAACTCAGTTCAATAGATATTACAGGATTTTCCAGTCTAAGGCAGGCCAGAAGGGGCTCCATCACCCTTCCCAGAGAACACACGGGAGGTCAACCTCATTCATTTTGGGTGACTCCCAGGCAGCCCAATCTTCCTTATGGATATAAACAAGCCCCACCGGCTCAGCTTTTCCGTTTCCACCCCAAACGCCACCAGCAATCGATAAGGAAGTGCATTACTTGAATTAAAAGTTTCTCTTCCTCAATCGCAAAAGTCTAAGGGACCCACGTCTTAGGACCGGCTTCCCAACCCTAGATGGCAATCAGCATGTATTTACGATGGTTGCCCACATCCCAGGGCCCTAGCCTTCCCCTTCCCTAAAGTGTATGTGTGCGCAGCACGTATACACACACACAGACACACGCGTGTGTATCCAGGGATCTAAGTACCGGTAGTTCCCTTCCAGCACGACCAAACGTTTGAAAACGACATGCCCAGCCCAGCGACTATCTCTCAGTCGCTGCAAGGTGCCTCTCTCGAGACGCCAGGTACGGACATGGCGATGCCCGCCCGCCCGCCTGCCTGCCCTCGGCCCCCGCCCGCAAAAGGTTGCCTCCCCACGGCTGAAGGCGATATCAGTGCGACACCTTGGCCAGGAAGAGATTGGGGGCGGGGGGGTCACCGATGCTCGGCAGCTTTAGCACCCGCTACGTAAGTGATGCGCGGAAGAGTGGAAGGGGAGGTGGACGCGCGGCCGCCCCGAAATAGCAGGCGGCAGGCACCGTCCGTCCACTGGCCACCTGGAAGAGAATCGACGGCGAGGGAAAGGTGCCGCTACTCACCCCAGCTACGTGCTCCTCGGTCCGCTCAGCGCCATCGAAAGCCAGTGAGAGTTCCCGAAAGGGCTTCCGAGATCGGAATCGCCCGGCCGGATCCTTCCTCCGCCTACCAGGGGATTCGGAAGCTCAGCCCGCTTTGCCCGGCGCTAAGGAGCCAGCCACTTGCACGGCGCCGCCGCCGCCGCCGCTCTCGCTGCAAGAGGCTGGCTGCGGCCAACACGCGTGCCGCACCTCCGAGCTGAGCCAGGGCGGAGGGAGGCGTGCAGCGCCGCCTGGCCGCCGTGCGTGGAAACGGGCCGCGAAGGGGGCGCCTCCCCGCCTCTTCAGCGCTTCTCGCCTCGGCTAAAGCCGGGCTTTGCTGCTTTTCCCAGGCACGTGTTGAGGCGGACGCCCCCCCACCCCCACCCGCGGCCGCGGACAGCCAATAAGAGAGGAGCGCGGCAAGTCAGGGTGAACAGGTGTCGCCTACGTAATGGACGGGCCTCCAGCGCCAGGCCCTCTTCGCTTTCCTGGGACGTCGAGCGATGACTGGCTCCGCGTCGGTCAGTTCGTATGTTTAAGGAAGGCTCTGCCGGCAAATCCCAAAATCGCGTCACTTACGCTTTAAAAAGCTACGATCTATTGCGGGCAATTGTTCCTCCTGAAAAAAGAAAAAGAAAGAAAGAAAGAAAGAAGGAAGGAAAGAAAGAAAGAAAGAAAGAAAGAAAGAAAGAAGGAAGGAAGGAAGGAAGGAAGGAAGGAAGGAAGGAAGGAAGGAAGGAAGGAAGGAAGGAAGTTAGTTCCTCAATGAAAGGGATAATGCTCTAAAGCGAGCGAAGTAGGAGCCCTTATTTATTTCATGAAGCTCCACCAGTTGCTTCTGAGATTTTAGAGCTCCTTAGCTGAGGTGGCTGCTTATTGTATAGTCCTGCAGTCAGCCTCTTACTCTAAAATCTCTGAACTTAAAAGCCAGGGAAGCAGTTATGTGAAAAAGTGAACCTTCATTTGATTTAGACAAATTAGTACAGGTAGTCCTCGACTTGCAACTACAATTGAGCTGAAAATTTCTGTTGCTAAATGAGACATTTGTTAAGTGAGTTTTGCCCCCAATTTACCACCTTTCTTGCTACAGTTGTTAAGTGGGTCGCTGCACTTGTTAAGTTAGTAACAAGGCGATTAAGTGAATCTGGCTTCCCAATTGATTTTGCTTGTCAGAAGGTCACAAAAGCGGATGGCATGAGCCTGGGACACTGCAACCATCATAAATACCGGTATGAGTCTGTTTCCGGGTGTCTGAATTTTGATCATGTGACTGGAAGATGCTGCAATGGTTGCGTGAAAAATGGTCGTAAGTCACCTTTTTCACTGCTGCTGTAACTTTAAACGGTCACTAAATGAACTGTTGTAAGTTGAGGACTACCTGTAACTTCATCACTAGAAAGACTGGACCCTCCTTCTTCCTGTCTTTCAATTTTATTCCTTCTTCATGTGGACAGCCCTTCCCCCTCTCCCCAAAATCCCCAACCAATGGATCACTGAACAAATCAATTCTCACTGGAAACACAAATGATCAGGCTCCAATTATCCTATCCTACACATTACTGTGCAAAGACCTAACTCTCTGAAAAAGGCTCTAACATTAGGAAAGTTGGAAGAAAGGAGAAGACAACTAGTAGCCAGGTGGATGGACTCAGTTAAGGCGGTTAGGAACAGATCACCTTGGAGAAATTATATATGTGATTGCCATGAGTCAAAAATAGCTTGGCTGTACAGTACTTAAGCATGTTTTAAGCATGTGTCTCTGCAGCCTTGCATGGAGAGCACAGCGGAGTAGGCAGCCGTGGGGCTGGTTAGTATCCTGAAAGCATTCCCTTTGCCTTTTAATAAATTTGTAATTTAATTTGTAATTTAATTTTTAATCATCCTTGACTTTCAAAAAAAAGTCTACCTTTTATATACTGTTTTTATGTTTTGATATTTTATTGTATACCACCCAGAGCCCCTCGGGAGGGAGATGGGTGGTTCCAAAGTATGATAAATAAACAATGTCCAAACTGATCATTTCAACTGTTTTTCCTTCAAATGATGATTTAAGAGCATGGTTACAAGTTCCTGGCTTCTAGAATAGCCTGGAAGCAATTTGAATGAGCACCACTGTATCATAACATTTAGCAGACTTGAAGAAGGATGGCAGGAATTGGCATCCAAGAGAGTGTGAGAAAAAATAATCACAGTTCTGTAGATCCAAAACATGTGGAGGGTCGGGAACAAGAGACCTGAATAAGGTCATTTTAAAGACCATTGAATTGAAGGATTTGTGTAGGCTGTTGGTGGTGCTATGAAGATGCAGATGGTTTATCTTTGTATCATCCTATTTAGTAATTAAAATATAGTGGGACACTGTGAGAAAAAGAAAAAGATAACTAGCAGTTAGTTTAGGGCATGATTCAGCCACTTATTTTACTGTGGCATGTTAAAGAAGAAGAACATCAGATGAAGAACTGCTTTGTTAAATACATCAATTGTAACAGGACTTTGGTGGCACTAAAATTTACAGTCCTCAGAATAAATCATGATTGACCAATCTCAAAATGTATGATACAAAAAAGCAGTTATTAAGAGGTCTTTTTTGTTTGTTTGTTTTTCTTGTGTTTTTCTCAAGAAAACACCTAAGGTGTTTGGCATATTCTAATTCTGAGTGAGACCAACAACTAAAGTGGAGTTGATCGACGTAGAATTTATGAAAAACATAGTTATAAATTACCAACCTAAAATCAATTATAATATAAACATAATCTTTAAGGATGGGAATATATCTTGATTTTTAAGATCCAGCATCTAATTTATTAATCTCTATCTATAACCCCAATTGAATTGGAGGTAATCACCCTTGCCATGGCTGCCATACAAAATGGGTCTATTTACACCACACATTGTTGGAGAGATGGTGGTTTTCATATGTTTTCCTTTAAAAGTTGATAGTGGGTTTTTAATGTATACAACCTGTGATGGTGATAGTAAAAATATAGATTTGGGGGAAAAAATCCTATCATATCAATGTAGTTATTTAAAAACACAAATGAATTCTTATTGCCTCGTGGGGGATGTATGATAATGCAACTGTAGCAAAGAAATAAAACACAGTGGACCCAAACTGGAGGAAATCCAGAACCAAACAGGATTCATAGTTTATCCCATTCAACTAAGGAACCGCTATTGGTGCAGGCAAAGCTTTTCATTTTCATTTTGCTGGTCTTTATACTGACAATTACAGATGGGGGCAGGAGGAGTAACATTTGTAAAGGGTTTAGATTAGCTAATTCTAACTAATCTTATACAAGCAATAAGTGATGCAAAATAAATCTGTACAGTGGTTAATCCATGCAGCAAATGAGATATTCTTGTGTACGAAGTTAAAGAGATCAGTTTCTACCACTGGGCATTCTCTTCTTTTATACTAATGCAAAGTAATATTGTTTGCACTTTATGATAAAAACTAGAAAACTGTATGATAGCAGCCAGAATTTTAAAGTGTGATGTTGCACAGTAACTGGGCATGATAAAGTCTCCAGATTCAGACATAAATGGTACCCATGCTGCTTTGCTGTTAAAGTTTGCCTTGCCATTAACATCTTCTGAATGAGAAGAATTGGCAACACACACACTATGTTTCTGTCGACATGGCTGCCTTCTTTCCTAACCCTATAGAACATCATTTACTTTTCTGTTTTTACAAATGCTCTAAGCTTGATCCTGACCTTGAACTGTTCTTTGGATACCTAGAGGATACAAGCATTATTTTATTTTGCTATCTGTGGGGCAGCCTGATTTTACTGTCTCCCTCCAAACAAAATGTAAGATTTCAAGCAAGGAAGCCACAGAGTTTGGAACTTTTATGAGAGAAGAAATGGCTGAAAAATAAAGTAAGTTCTCACTCTTATGGTGCAGGAGGTGCTAATTGCAATGCAGATATCAAATTGAACTGCTTCATAATTCACCACGGATTTTGACGTGACAAGTTCATAGCTAGATAATTTTATTTTTACCACCAGCCATCCTATGTATGTAACATTAACTTGGTTATAGATGGTATTGTGACTCATCCAGAAAGCTGCCTTAGTAAATGGTGTATATATAACTCCCTTTTATTGATGTAACTGAAAAAGGAACAACTACCTTCAATTAATCAGGAAAAGTTCAGTCTCAACTTCTGAAGACTATTGGAATTATTATGTATTTCTCTTGGCAACATTGGATTGCCAGTGCCCTTCTCCAAGATGTTTTCTCAATCTCCCAGTACAGGTATTTTGGGATCCACAATACAGTACAGGTACAGTACAGGTATCCACAATAGAGCCCAAAATTTCTATTGCTAAGTGAGACAGTTGTTAAGTGAATTTTGCCCCATTTTACAACATTTCTTTGCCGCAGTTAAGTTAATCACTGCAATTGTTAAGTTAGTAAATTGGTTAAGGGAATCTGGCTTCTCTATTGACTTTGGTTGTAAGCTGTTATGGAGGGGAGGATCAAAACTTTCTTTCATAGCATCTATTTTGTTATTGTGCTAATAATATTTTTTCTTAAAAGAAAAAGGCAAACACTGTACAAAAACTGCACTGCATGACAAATGGTAAAGCAATTCAGATGGAGGAAAGCATTCAGATGAAAATGAAGAAGATGAAAAGTATATAGTGTAGTGTGCTAAGAAAGGCAGAACAGGAGACTAGATGGTAAAACATGAAAGAAAAAGTGCCCATGAATGCTATTTATAGCTATAGTTGTGATGTATATAGAATAACAGAATTGAAAGGGACCTTGTAGGTCATCTAGTCCAACCCCTGTTCAAGTAGGAGACCTTATACCATTTCTAACAGATGGATGTCCAGTCTCTTCTTGAAAGCTTCCAGTGATGAAGCACCCACAACTTCTGAAGGCAACTTCTGTTCCATTGGTTGATTGTTCTCATTGTCAGAAAAAAATTCCTTATTTCTAGGTCGATCAGTTTCCATCCATCATTCCTTGTCTTCAGGTGCTTTGGAAAATAGGTTGACCCCCTCCCAGTGGTGGGATTCAAATAATTTAACAACTGGTTCTCTGCCCTAATGACCGACTGGGTGGGTATGGCTGGGTGGACATGGCCAGGGGGCGTGACAGCACTCAGTCTCCTGCAACACTCTCCCAGCCAAAATGGGGCACGGGGGTTAATTACAAAATGTGGGCTTGGCTTTGCGACATCCAGATCCAGCAAGCAAGG